GCTACTTGGGAGGCGGAGGCAAGAGACTCGCTTGAGCCCAGGAGTTGGAGGTTGCTGTGAGCTGTAATGCCATTGCACTCTACCCAGGGGGACAGCTGGAGGCTCTGTCTCAAAAAATAAATAAATAAATAAATAAAAAATAAATAGTTGAATAAATAAATGGAGAAGGAATAGTTCTTCCCTTGTATTCATGTTTAATGAGTAAATGTGGAAAGAATGATAGAAAATCACCATTTGCCAACTGCTTCCTTAATAATTATTAAAAGCAAGAAACATCAATGATTGCTAAAACTAGTAGGTAGAGGGCGGTGCCTGTGGCTCAAAGGGGTAGGGTGCCAGCCCCATATGCCGGAGGTGGCGTGTTCAAACCCAGCCCCAGCCAAAACCTGCAAAAAAACCAAAAACCTAGTAGGTAGAAGTATGATGAGAAACAGGATATCTGCATAGTCACCAAGTGTCTCTCCATAAGATATTTAATATTTACAAAGGGAAAAAATAGTAACATTAAAAGGAGAAACTTGGCAGACACCACTTAACCAAGTGAGCAAAGTTTGAATCATCAGTAATGAGACACAGACATATGCTTCATAATATGACATGGGGAAAATGGCAGTCTTTAAGAAGACATGACAATTAAAATGTAGTATGAGATCCTGGACGGAAAAAGGACATTAGTGGGTCAACTGAATAAGACCTTGAATAAGATCTATAGTTTAGCTAATAACATTTTTTTTCCTGCAGTTTCTGGCTGGGGCTGGGTTTGAACCTACCACCTCCGGCATATGAGGCCAGGGCCCTACTCCTTTGAGCCACAGGCGCCACCCACTAATAACATTTTTATTGGTTAACTTCCTGGTTTTGATAATTATGTATGTTTATATAAGATGTTAAGATTTGGAAAAGCTGGGTAAAGGGTATACAGGCATACTTTGTATTATATTTGAAACATTTCGTCAGTTGGAAATTATTTCAAAATTAAAATAAAAAATAACACGGGCACCTGGGTCCTACGCCTCATGGATTCTGATTTAACTGCTCTGAGGTCAAGCCCAGGCATCAGTAATGTTTAAAATCTCTTCAAGTGACAACTATAATCCTTATTCAATGGTTGCCAATGTGTGATCCCTGGAGCAGGAGCAGCAGCAGCAGCAGCAGCAGCAGCAGCAGCATCACATGGGAACTTGTTAGAAATAAAATTCTCCGGCCCCACTGAATCAGAAGCTCTGGTGGTGACCTCTTTATTTTAATAAGCCCTCCAGGTGACTCAATGAGTATTTAAATTTGAAAACCAGTGTTCTAATAGAACTGAGCCCAATGATGTGACTCACAGACATGAACTTGAAAAGTTATGCAAATCTACAATCATCATAAAAATCAATGGCTAATATGTAAGATCTCCAAACTAGTAACATATAATCACAGATATACATACATACATATATATATACATATAGCTAGTGCCTTACTCCTTTGAGCCACAGGCACCGCCCTAATCACAGATATAATTAAATCTGTTCTAAGTGGTCATTCATTCAACATGAATTTGAGTATCTATTATGTGATAGGCTGTGCTAGGTGCTTGGTAGACAAAAGTAAATCTAAGATGCTGTCCCTACCCAAAGAAACTTAAAAAAAAATTAATACAAGGCTGGGCACAGTAGCTCATGCCGATAATCCTAGCACTCTGGGAAGCTGAGTCGGGTGGATCATTTGAGTTCATGAGTTTGAGACCAGCCTGTGCAAGAGTGAAACCCAGTCTCTAAAAACAGTCAGGGGTTGTGGCAGGCGCCTACAGTCCCAGCTACTCAGGAGGCTGAGGCAAGAGAATCACTTAAACCCAAGTTTTGAGGTTGCTGTGAGTTATGATGCATGCACTCTACTGAGGGTGACCAAGTGAGACTCTATCTCAAAAAAAAAAGTCTTAGGCAGCGTCCATGGCTCAGTTGGCAGGGCACTGGCCACATATACTGAGGGTCACGGGTTCAAACCCAGCCCAGGCCAACTAAAACAATGACAACTGCAACAACAACCAAAAAAATAGCCAGGTGTTGTAGTGGGCACCTGTGGTTCCAGCTACTTGTGAGGCTCAGGCAAGAGAATCACTTGAGCCCAAGAGTTTGAGGTTGTTGTGAGCTGTGATGTCACAGCGCTCTACGGAGGGTGACACGGTGAGACTGTCTCAAAAAAAAAAAAAAAAGTCTTATTTATTTTTTTAGAGACAGAGCCTCAAGCTGTCCCCCTGGGTAGAGTGCTGTGGCATCACAGCTCACAGCAACCTCCAACTCCTGGGCTCAAGCGAGTCT